ATCGATCTCTTCTTATGTTCACTTTATCTTTAGTGAACAAAGGAAGATCTTTTTGATTTCTACGATAGAAACAACTTCTTTCTTCCACTAAAGAAGGTGAATATAATGGTCTTCTTTTGTTCATTGAATATGATCGATTTTTGTAGTCTGATGACCTTTTTTCACTCACTAAGGATGATCGATTTCCGTGATCTGATTGTCTTCCTTCTTTCATTAAAGATGATGGATCCGATGGTCTTTCTTCTTTGACTAAAGATGGCTGATTTCTGTGATCTGATGGTCCTCCTTCTTTGACTAAAGATGGCTGATTTCTGTGATCTGGTGGTCCTCCTTCTTTGACTAAAGATGGTTGATTTCTGTGATCTGATGGTCCTCCTTCTTTGACTAAAGATGGTTGATTTCTGTGATCTGATGGTCCTCCTTCTTTGACTAAAGATGGTTGTTGACCTCCACAGTCCATTGATTCCATTTTTCTTACTTCTAACTTAGCTATATCTATTTCCTTTCCTATATCATTTACTTCGACTTCCACCGGCAACCCAAGATCATTAAACTTGTCCTTATAAGAAGGTATATCATAATCAAAAATGTCATCATCATCGAGAATTCTTCCAATTGACTTTTGGTATGCTATACTTTTTTCACGAATGATTTTCATTTCATCTAATCTAATTTCTTTATGCAAAATTTCAAGGGCTATAGCAGCAACGTGATCTTGTGCCTCGGGCCTGATTTCAAATCCTTTTGATGGGTTGAATTTGCGTTTTCCAATAATAAGAGAAACATAAAACAATAATCCTTTTTTTGCAATATCAGAGTCAGCATCAGCTGCTGGCGGTGAATGGGTAGCAGCATCAGCTACAGTTTTTGCAATGGAAATCGTAACATCGTTGCGATGGCTAATATATTTAATCCCTACTGGTCGTAATGGTGGTATAATGTCAACATAAACTGGATTTCCAAGGTTATAATTCAACATGAAGTCGGCTAAAAGTGTTCTATGTGGTGTTAATGGTTGTTGTGTCTCGAGCCAGATATCGGATGGTGGTCTTGAA